TAGCAAGGTTTGCTTTTTATCAGAATGAAATAAGCAATATTTTTATATTAAAAACTAATCATTTTGCTCAAGTCATTTTGAATAGTAGTTGAAAGGTTACTTTAAAAAGGATTTTAATGAAGAAGAAAGCAAATAATGATAGCAACATTTGTAAGAAAAGGCAAAGATGTAAGAAATGAAAAAGAAAACAGTTAAAAGATTATAAGCATAACAATTAAGTTTCCCATATTTATTAAATGATGTGGTGTGAACTCAGAATTTTAGATTCTTTGATTGTGTTCAACTTTGTAAGTAAAGATTTGAGGGAAGAGAAAAAAAGGTTAGCAAATATTGAGGGATAGATATTCAAAGTTTTTCTGCAGATACATTTGATTTCCTTGAATAAAAACAAACAAACAAAGATACATTTGATTTGTATATTATTTTATCCCAAAAAAATATCAATGCACTCAAAATAAATAATAAAAGATAATAAAAAAAACAATTTGAGGGAGTTAAATATGATACTAATTGTTTGTACTTTTTTTTTAAAAGAAATGAAGAACAATGAGGATTCTTTAAGAAAAAAAAAAGTAGTTCATAAGTTTATTTGTAAATTGGTTTTTTACTAGTAAACAAAGGTTTTTATTTTTGGAGAAGGATATGTCAGGTAATTTCAAATCAAGAAGTTGGGAAATAAAGATACGTAGACATGAAGTGTTTGTTAGTGTAAATATAAAGAAAAAGAAAAAAGAAATGGATGTTAACAGTGCAGTTACTATGGAGTTTTTTAAAAATGTAGAGTTTTTTTTTTAATTTGATTTAGTTTAATTTGATTTGATTTGATTTTTTAAAAAAAAAATTGAAAAATAAAAAGATCAAACAAGAAGAAAAATTTCCATGGTTATTCATGTCAAAATGATTCAAAAGTGTCAAATGATGAAAAAAAAAAAAAAAAAAAAAAACCGACAATGAAAAAAGAGGGGACGGGAGGGTGATGATAGTTGATAGTACGTACGAAGTGATGAACAAACATATTTTGTAGAAAAGTACCGAGGAACTACATAATAGTTTAAATAGTCTAAAACTTTTATTTTTTTTATTTTTTTTATTTTTTGTTCCATATTTTTCAACCAGGTTTACAGTTCGCAGAAACAAGACAAAAAAAAAAAGGAAAAAAATAAAAAAAAAAGTTTCTGGAATTTCTTGAGTTTCTGGGAAAATAAAAACAGTCTTTGTTTAAAGAACTAAGAGAAGTAAGAGAAGTAAAAAAAAAATAAAATAAAATTAAGGAGAAGTGTTTGTGAAAAATAACCTTTTGGTAACAAGAAAATAAAAGATTTTGGTGGAGGAAAGTATGCAATGAATGCCCACGGTACAAAAAACGGAGTATATATATATTAAGTAATATCCAATGATGCAGTACCATGAGAACGCAGTTTTGGAAAGATGTATGAGTGTTGAGATACATATGTACATATTAATCAATAAATCTATTTGGAGAGTAGCCTAAAGGAATTCTCTATTTTTTTTTTCTTTTTTGTTTTCGAGGCAATAAATCCATGAAAGGGAATGTTTATGTGTATGTTTGTGATGATAACAAATTGAGTTTTATTCCAATTGGGGGCTCTAGTCAAATGTAAAAGTTATTTTAAAAGTAACGTCTATTTAAATAAATTGTGCATTTCATTTCATTTCATTTCATTTTTTTTATTCTCAAATTTGTCCCAAATTTTTATTAAAAATGGTTTGAGTGAGTGATCATGGAACTAATTATTTTTTTAAATCCAATATCCCCCTTAGTAGTTAAATTCCAAAAGAAAGGATCTTTAAGGAGATTGAACACCATTGAAGAGACTTTAAGTGAGCTAAACTGACACAATTAAAAAAAAAATCGTTTAAAAAAATTTTTTTTTCTTTCTTTCTTTCAAATCTCAGTATCATCATCATCATCATCATCATCGTTATTACTCTCCCGCATTTTTTTTTTAATTTCCCTTCTTTCTTCAATTTATCCATTAGAAGAGTAACAATATAAAGTTTTATTTACTTGGGAAGTTGCATGTTGTTTTCGTCATTCGCCTTTGGAGCTTTTTTTTTTTGTTTTCAATTTTCTCTAATATCTTTATTTCTTTATCTCTTTAGTTAGGAATAAAAAAAAAAATATGCTAAGCAGTTAGTTTTTATTATTAAAGAACCTTGAAAACCCAATGTAATAGCCGCATGAGAATTTTAAGTGAAGATATTTAAACAAATTTGTATTTCTTTTTTTTTTGTTGTTAAAATCAATCACAGATGAAGAATTGTGGGGGCTAAAAGCATGTAACAGGAGAGTCTACATTTGAATACCAAGAGATATATTATGTACTTCTTCAATACCAAATAGCTGGAGACAAAAAAAAACGAAAAAACCAAAAAACGTGAAAAGTGGGTTGTATCTTTGATACTGTCAAAGTTTTACCAAGATACAAGTACTAAACATACATACATTCTGGCAAAACCTCGGAGTGAGATGGTGCAATTGCGTTAAAGACTTTTTTTTTTTTTACATTACAAAAGGTGGAGATAAAATGATCAATTTTTTTTTTTTTTTGACTATAATCATTATATTTGTTTTTATTATTTGTAAAGCTTAAGCCATAAATTTAGGATCTGATGTTTCTTTGACAGATTGTCAAAATGGGATTTTTGTTTTGTCAGAATTGTATTTGTCATCTCTTTTTTTTTATATTTATTTTTATTTTGTTTTGTTTTGTTTTAGTGTATTTTAGTGTAAAAGCATTTTAAGAAAAAAAAAAATAAAAAAAAATAAAAAAAAAAACAAACAGGTCTTGCTTGATGTTAGTCATACGAAAAGATTCAGAAAGATTCACAAGGTGTTGATTTTATAAAAAATATTAGAATACTTGAAAAGGTATGGCTTCCTGATTAGGACACGAATATATGATATATATATATATTTTTATAAACAAAAATCAACAAAAATATAACATAGAAAAAAAAAAAAAAAAAAAAAACCGACCCGAATTGCAAGCGGCGCCTAATTGATGCTACACCATTACTGAAAATCTGAACGACAGTTGAATGATCAGCCGCGAGTCCAATAGCCGGTTAAACCTTTAGATGGGATTCTGCGGCTCAAAAAAAAAAAATAAAAAAACTTGAGAAGAAAATCCATCAGCCGCGGCTTTGTTGGCATAACAAGGTGTGAGAGAACTCATGCGGCGGGATGATGGCGGCAGCGGTAACAAGAAAACCAGAAAAGGCATGTGCAACACGACAAGCAAACGATGGAGAGAGGATTGTTTTGAAGATTGGCAAAGATACGATATATTTATATATATACTAAGAAAAAATATGAGAATATGAAATGAACAAGAGGGATTGGAATTGAAATGTTTATTGAGAGTCAAGCTAGGGTTATGCAAACTAAGGACACCATGGACTTTGAAATTGTTGTGAAATTGAAGGAGGTATTGATTATTATAATAATAATTATTATAATAATCAAAACCTCCTTTGATTTCAATTTCATTATTATTATTTTATTTTTTATTTTATTTTATTTTATTTATTTTGGTACCATATTTTCTAATCAAGTTGATATATGTCAAGAAGCAAGGGTTTTGTGACTCATCATGGCAATTAGAGAAAGCTTGCTTGGGATGTGATTATAAGAGTTTAATTCGCAAAAAATTACTACAGAGAAGCCAAGGCTCGTTGTCGATCCCTAACCAAAGATGTTTATGAAAGGTTGTTGTTGCTGATGTTTCAGTCTTACAGACCCCTACGGCTTTGCTGGCTGATGAGTGGCTTATTGAAGATTGCTTAGAGATTGATTGCTGATTTTGATTTCCAATGGAGATAGATGTGCATGAATATTTTTTTCTTTTTTGCTTTTTTTGTTTTTTTTTTGTTTTTTTAACCCCATCAACATTCCTAGAGTGTTAGCATTGGTTTGTTGAGTTCAAAGCCAGAATATTTCCCCAATGTTGAAATAGATGGAGAAGGAATTTCCGGAAATGTTTGTTGGTGATAGTTTTGATAGATGTGTTAGTAATGGTAAAGTCAGTCAAAGTCAGAACCAGTTTTTATTTTTTTTATTTTTTTTATTTATTTTATTTATTTTTTTTTTTCTTTGGGATAGTTAAAAAGAGGAGGGTTTTCTGAGTCATCAAAGAAGGACAATTTTTTGGCCCGGCCGGCAAGAATAAGAGATTGGAAAGATTTTACACAAAACTAGTAGAGCTGCGTAAAATATTTTTACTTAACTTGCATGAAGGTCGGTTTGATTGCGCTTATGTAATTAGCGTTTTTTTTTTTTTTTAGTAAAACAACGAGGGCTTTTTGTTGTTGTTGTTGTTGTTGTTGTTGTTGTTGTTGTTGTTGTTGTTGTTGTTGTTGTTGCTTATGTCACGGGTAAAATGCTGTTTCATTTTTTGCTTGGATGACTAACTTTGTAAAATAACAATTTAACGGCTCGGCTTTAAGGTTTTCAAGGCACAGTCATAATTTCTTTTTTTTTTTTTTTCAATTTCAAAATATAAAAATATAAAATTCTAATACACACACACACACTGTCGGAAAAGAAGCTCAAGCAAACCCGGCGTAATTAATTGTGGGAAAAGGATCGGGATTGCCATAGATGGGTTCTATTCCTTTTTTTTTTTTTTTTTTCTTTCTTTCTTTCTTCCTGCTTGTCAAAATATTAATCTAATATATACACCATATATATATTTATATAAAAAAAAACATGTCTGGGAAATTTTATATATATATCCTGTCCCTTCTCCCATTTCAATCCTTTTTTTTTTTTTTATTCTATTCCAATATATATATATCTACACATATTTAATTATTCAATTCAAATAATCTAGCCCACTAAATAATTCAAACACAGCATTATCATCTCTATTCATCTGAATCAGCTCTTTATATAATTTCAGCTACACATATTAGCCCAACCATCTATATATATTTATATACACACACAAAAACACAAAACATACACAACATACACAATGGAATCTCAAAGATTATCTGGTTCTTACAACATGACTTTGGCAGAAACTTATCTGCTTGCCTCTAAGGCTCGCTCTAAACTTACCAGAGAAGCATCCCGTCAAGATCACGACCTTCGCATCCTCGTTTCTCACGCAAACATGCTCGATAACCTCATGGACTCTCTGGCCCAGCACCGATATAAGAAGCAATTAGAGCAACAACAACAACAACAACTACAGCAACAACAACAACAACAACTACAGCAACAACAACAACAAATCACCATGCCTAAGCCCATCTCTGAAGCTGAATACGTCTATGCTGATGAGGAATCATCAGATGATGAGTCTCAATACTCGGAAGATGAAGGTGAATATGAGGAATACAGCGAAGAAGAAGACGAGGAAGAATATGAGGAAGACGAAGAAGAAGAAGATGATGACGACTATAGCGTGTTTGAGGAATGCCATTTACCCTCTACTCGCATTTACAGCAGCACACCAAAGGCCAAGCAATATAAGGTTCTCCCTACAGTCGATGAAGCACCATTAGAAGAGTATGAGGAAGAAAAAGAAGAAGAAGAAGAAGAAGAAGAAGATATTACAGTTCAAGCTTCTTTTTCTCCTTCATATCCTCACAATCTGCAACACCATTATGCCACGTTGTCGCACTCGACTCTCCACATGGCTCCTTCGGTTGCCGTTGTTGAGATTTCAGTGGAAGACGATGAGGATGAATATGAAGACAATGACTCTGCCAGCATCACAAGTAGTAGTGACGACAATGAACAAGAAGAAGAAGAACAAGAAGCAAAAGAAGAGATTGATAGCATCACATCATCTGAAAGTGTGCCTTCCTTGTGCTATTCTTCGGAAGAAGAGTCTGAGGAAGACGAATTTCTGAGTGCCAACAATAGTAGCGAAGAAGAGGAGGAGGAGGAAGAAGAAGAAGAAGAAGTACATAAAGAGCCTGTGAAAGACTCACCAGCTTCTAAAGGAACATTAGAATCATTACGCACAGCAGTTAAGATGTATTCGCATCAGCGGTTACATGATAAGCGCTTAGTACTTCCTACTCCTGAGCAGCTGGATCTGCTAGTTCGTTGAGCTTTTTGTTTTTTTTCTTTTTAATGACCTTTTTGTAATGACCTTTATGACTTTTATTTATGACTATTTAATGTAAATACAATTTGAAGAATAAAAATTTTTTGATAAAAATAATAATTGTTGAGAAATTATGTTTTAAAAAATGAATCAGAAACGGTTTTTTTTTTTTTTTTTTGTAACAAATCAAGAAATCTTTTCTCTAATCTGCAACAGCAATAATTCAATTATTCAACTCCCCCTTTTTTTGATGATCATAATCAAATTGATGTTTGTCAGAGATATTTATATATAGAAAAAAAGATTTTTTCTATTTTGTATCTAATATACTGTTTTTGTTTTTTTAAAAAAAAAACCTTAGTATATAGTCTAAAGGTACTCTTGATTCATTACTACTACCACTATTATTACTGCTACTACTACTTACTACTTACTACCACTATACTTGTATTTATATATAAGTCTATTGTTGCGCCGCACAATAAAATACGAGACGGGAAGCTTTTATTCCAATGGCAACATTTGGCGAGAAAGCAAAGGATTAATTAATTAATTAGTTAGTTAGTTCTCCCTTACAAAGATTCTATCTCTTGTGATCAATCAATCAATCAATCAATATACTGTATTGTATACAAAAAAAAAAAATAAAAAAAAATAAAAAAATAAAACCCTCTTTCTGGCCTTACCATCAATCAAAAAAAAAAAGAAAAAAAAGAACTCAATGTCCATGTGGTCTTAACAATAAAAAAAAATAAAGGAGGTTACAAATAAGGACTGTATATATATATATATATATATATATGATAACAAGTGATAGGAAAAGAAGAGAAAGAAACAGGAAAAGGAAAAGGAAACTTATAATGAAATCAAAAAAAAAAATAAGTTGATATATATATCTCCACCACCCCGTCATAATTCTCGACACTTGTGTCATTAGAAGAAAAAAAAAAAAAAAAAAAAAAGAAAATAATTTTTTTTTTTTTTGATTGATTGACGTTTCTCATATCCTTCCTAAAAAGCAACATTTGTCTCTCGTCAGCCACGTTTAAGGGCCTTGTGGTAAGATAGATAGAACAGATGGTGTCGAGGCTGATTAATGTAGAATTGGACTTTCTTGCTTTACTTTTTATATCATAGACTTTTTTTTTTATCTTTGTTTAAAATCATCTTTCTAATCAATAATATATTTAAAAACCTTTTTTTTTTTTGTTTTTTGTTTTTTTCTTATTCATTACTAATTGTTTCTTATAACTAATCAAACAATTAACTAGGCTTGGAAGTCAATTATATTTTTTTTTTTTTTTTTTTTTACAAACTGACAGATAGAGAGCTAAATTAGCTCATTAATAAGCCCAACGGGGTTCTATATACTACTAACTGATAATCTGATTCTAGTAATGTTAAGAAATTGACTGTTATGTTAAACAAATTTAGTCAATTAGTCAATTAGTCAAATTTAATTGACTAATTGATACTCAATTGTTTTCTTCTCTTTGGTTATATCATTGTAATTTAATAATAATAATAATAATTAATATAAAATATATATAATAAATAAATAATATATACGGGTCAAGACTTTAGAAAGGTATATCTTTTTTTTGTTATTTCTGACGTAACACAGTGTCGTATTACTTAATCTATCCCAATCTTTCACTACTAAACCTTCCAAAAGGACTTTTTATCTCATCATCACCATCATCATCATCCACCCTTTTTTTATTTTTATTTTCCTGGGGGGTGTAGGTGTAGTATTTAAGGGCACAGCCACAGAATGTTTATGGAGAGCCCATTGTTTTTGTTTCTTCATCATATTTATATTTGATCTACTTCTTCTTGCTATACTACTCGTCATATAGACGCCTATTTCCTCCGAAGGTTTAAATATTTCTCCTACCTGACCCGAATATATTGATCCTTATCAAAAGTCTTGAATGGAAACTTCAATGAGTCAGAAAAATAATATTAATATTAATAAAAAAAAGAAGAAGAAAATTTCCATCTTTTGTTTTGGAAAACCCTCCCTTAAACGTATACTTAACTCTTAACTAAATAAGCTGTTTGTTGATCTAATTAGGATTTAAATCAAGTTCAAGTAAAATAAAAATAAAATAAAATAAATAAAAAAACGTGTTAGCTTTCTATCCATAATTCCATTAAGTCTATTTTTTTTTTTTTTTTTACAAACTTGTATTTAGCAATCAAAATGATATGAAATGGCATGACATGAATGACATGAATGACATGACATAGCATAGCATAGCATAGCATGGCATGATACAACATTGCATTTTTTTTCTAGTATTACTACTACTACAACTACTGTCCTTTTGTTCATATTTGCTTTGTCGTCATTGCCCATCATAATGCATATGTTCTAGGGTGTGAGTTTTTCATTTATTTTTTTATTTTTTATTTTTTTTATTTTTTTTATTTTTTTTATTTTTTTTATTTTTTTTATTTTTTTTATTTTTTTTATTTTATACTTGCTTTGTTGCTAGTGGGTTTTTTTTATATAAATCGAAATTCAGACCAAGTAATTTTGTTTTTTTATTTTTTATTTTTTATTTTCAACTCTATTTAAGACTTGGTTCTACTTCATTCACTTTAACTCTGAATGTCTTGATTAACTACTTTTGCATATATATATATATTTATATCTATATATGTTTTTTTATAATTCTAATGAAAAGGGTGGGTTATTTTTTTTATTTTTATTTTTTTTCCCCTCCCCTCCATCTTCATTCTGTTTCTGTTTGGATATTTTGTAATTCATTTTAAAAAAAAAAAAAAAAAAAAAAAAAAAAAAAAAAAATTTGCTTGCTTTGTTTGCTTTGTTTGTTTGCTTGAGTGAGGATGAAGGTATATATATGTGTATGACAAATACTTTGGAGTTTTAAGAAAAATCAAATGAATACCCCCACGGAATTAATATTACACAATCACAAATATATCATGTATATACAACAACCAAATAGAGATTTTGTAAAAAAAAAAAAAAAAAAAAAAAAAAAAAAAGAGCAGATCAAAATATAAATGGGAAAAAAAAAAAAATAATTGAGGAGAATTTATAATTTTTTTTTTTTTAATTTATGATGAGTAAGAATGATATGATTTTAAAAATGATTAGTTTTCTTTAAAAGAAGAAGAAGAATAAGAAGAAAAAAAAAATAAAAATTTATTCGGTCTTAAGCAAATACCGATATATATTTTACAGAAATTTTTCAAAAAAGCGGGGAAGATTGTTTGAAAAAATGTGACTGGTCAACAATCTACCGGAATTATCTTTTCATTTCATTTTTTTTATTTTTTTTTTTCATTTATTTATTTATTTATTCACCGATACTTTGACTATTTTGTTTTTTTGTTTGTTGACTAAAAAGAAGAGTATTATCTCGGTCTTTGAAATTTTATTTTTTTTTTAAAAAAGCGGGGGGGAAGGAAGGATGAGTTGTATTGTATGATTTTTTTTACACGGATTTTAAATAAAAAAAAAAAGGATTTTATTTGATAAAAAGGAAAAGAAAAAGAAGAAAAGGAAGAAAATTTTTTAACAAAAAATGAATGAATGAATGAATGAATGAATAATTTTTTTTTTTTTTTAATTCCCATGATATCTTTTACAAATATTGAACGGAATTTGGAAAATAAATGTGATAGTAGTGGTGGACTTAATTGAAAAGTGGAGTAGGGCAAGTCGGAACCTAGCGTTAAAATATTTAAGACTTGAGCCATTTATATATTACAATGAAAAAAAAAAAAAAAAAAAAACTTAGACTTAGACTTAAACTTAAACTTAATTTTTTTTTTTCTTAAGGCTTCTACATAAGGGCTTAACTTTTATATTTTATTCTACACACAAAAAAAATAAAATAAAATAAAAGCCATACATATTTAGGCACAAGGTTTAAGTTTTAAGTGTGAAAAAAAATTTTTCTTTAATTTCTTAAATTTCTTTTCCGGGACTTGGGCATGCCGCAAAAGAGTCCGAGAACGCGCCTTTTTGAAAAGAAAAAATAAAATAAAAAAATAAAAAAATAAAAAAATAAAAAAATAAATTGGTAACTTATATATATAACAGAAATAGCAACAGTTCTGTTTTTTTTTTTTTTTTTTTTTTTCAAAGTTTAGCAATCTATTTTTAAAAAAAAAAAATTTCATTTTCATTTTCATTTTTTTTTTTTTCATCTTCAAAGCAAAAGAGCAAAGTCTAAACAAATTTTTTTTTTTAAAAAAAAAATAAAAAAAAAAGGGTAAAGTTAAATTAATTTCTTTTTTTTTTTTTGTTAAAATGATCCTCGAGTAAATATATACTTTAAAATATATTGAGCAAACTATATGTAAGAATGGAATGAAAAGAAAATACAAAAAAAAAAATTCTTGCTTTTTTTTTTTTGAATGCACGCCTTACAGATAGAAAGAAATGAGTAAATGTTTTATTGTTTCTCTACTATATATAATAGAGAAAAATGCAGCAGTAGCAATATATAGTTGATTATAATAATAATAATTTTTCAATTTTTTTTCAATTTTTTTTCAATTTTTCAAACAGAGAACTTTTCATTCATTTACTCAAAAGATAAGCTTAATAGAGAGTAAAAAAAAAATAATCAACAGTCTAGCAAAAAGTAAAATTAAAAATAAAAAAATAAAAAAAACATGAAAATTAATCCTAAAATTTACTTACTTTTAAAAAAATATATAATTATAAATATAATTATATATATTTTTAATTTGAATTCATTGCTTTTTTATTTGTTTATTTCAATCTATTTTTAAAAGAAAAAAAAAATATTCCCAAGTTAGCTTCGAGATGCCCTATTTGCATGTTTACAAATAACCGAATATGAAAAAAAAAAAAAAAAAATTAAATAAATAAATAAATAAAAAATAAAAAATAAAAGGGGGAGGATGGCTATGATGATACTAACAGAATGACAGAAGAAAAAAAAAAAAAAAAAGTCAAAATTACAAAAAAAAAAAAAAAAAAAAAAAAAAAAACC